TTAAACTTGTAGACTTTTGTGTACGAAATTTTTTTTATAATTTATCTTACAAGTACTTATTGAAGAATTCAAGTCAAGTATTTTTGTTATATTAGATATCGATAGATGTTAGTCAAAAAACTTTGATTAAAAAATGGAGCAAAAAATAAGAGCTCAAGAGTTTAACTAGGAAAGTTACTGTAGGAAGCTTACTTTGTGGTGTACAAAAAGTATTAAATAAATAAATGCTGAATAAATTAATGTGCAAATTAAACAGTGAACAGTATCGTGTACAAATAGGAAATAAAAATATTAATATTTATACACATTTAATGTCTAAGTATATTTAATAAAAAATTAACATAATAAGTGAACTAAGAATATAGGAATAATATATAAATAGCCTTACCTGTCAGGAGCGTAATGGTTTGCTTGCGGCTTTCATGTACATATAACAGTTCAGTATGTAGACTGCCACTGTTGAATGGATTTAATATTATGTTAATTTATAATTTCTAAGAACACGAACGGTTTTAAAATGTATAATCTTTTTGTTTAATTCCTTTTATACAAGGCCTATTTATTTAATTAAAATATAGGTGTTAATTACTTTTAATTTTAATAATCCTTATAAGCTTACTTACGTCTATATAGTTATACTTTTTAATTGCACTTTAAATATGTTTAATTTTCGGCTGAAATCTAAATCTGTGACGAATTATGATTTTCGAAAAAGGAGAAATATAGTCATTTGACTTACACTCAAGACTCTCCAATTAGATTACTGTTGTACTCAATGTTTTCAACATAAAATTGATTATTTAATCTGGTCGTTCTGAAAATGTTATGAACTTATCGAAATGCTGAAAGAACTGTCATGAAAATTAATCAGTGAACAGTATCGTATACAAATATGGATTAAAAATATTAATATTTATTCACGTACATATTAGTGTCTTTAAAAGCTTAATAACTTACTTCGTAGACAGTCTTTCATGTCAATTCGATTAGATATTTTTGACAATTTTTTATACGCCTATCATGTCCTTAAAATGTTCTAGACACGTGTATACATGTAATAAGTCAGAAGAAGCTGTCGAATACTGAATTCTTACACAAAAATATTTCTATTTTATTTAATAAAATATATTTAGGTATTGCTAAATTTATATACGAGGAAAATAAGAATTTTGTAAGAGTTATTTAATTCACAACTTTCGCAATATACTGTTATCTTCTATATACATATATAAAAATGGATTGCTGTTCCTTACACTCGCTAAAACTCGAGAACAGCTGAACGGATTTATCTTATCTTAGTCTTGAAATGTTCGTGAGGGTTCAGGGAAGGTATAAAAGCTGAAAAAAAATTGAGTAATTACTGGGAAAATCATTTCCCATACTTTCCCATTATTTCCCATCATTTCCCATACTTTTCTATTTCCCATACAATTTTTTTTGACATTAGATTTGACAACTAACTAATATGTCAATCATTTTGTCGCACTTCAAAACACGGAGATTTATGGCTTACAGGTAAACTCCAAAAATATAAATTAAAAAAACGTAATAGACATTTCTTCGCCAGGTCTTCTAGTATATAATAATAATAAATATTTGTTATTTAATTACTTTATTTTTAACCTCTTTCTAGACTCCAGAATTTCAAGTTTTAAATAAAACTTAGTTTAATATGTGCATAGTAATCCCCTTAATGTTAAAGAGACCCTTTAGTCTTTATAGTATAATTAAATATAATTTTGTTACTACAAAATTTACATTTAGTGTTCATATATTATTTCTATTTACAAAATGAAAAACAGTTATGTATCAGTATGCACGTATGAAGGTGTACGCATGATTGAGAGTGAACCATTGTACTCACGGCTCGCAAAACGTCGTTAAAGAACCTACCATTGAACTAAATTTGCATGTGCACAAAAAATAAAAAATCAATTCTAAATACGTTTCATCTATGAATTGTAAATCTAAAATAAACTGAGAGCATGTAAAACAGCTCTTTTTTTCAAAAGCAAGAGTTTAATTGAAAGTAAAAATTATTACAGATTGTTTTGAATAATTTCTGACATGGATTACAAAGTGCCATCTACTATTTATAGTTGTTACTTTAAATAGCGAAAAAAAGCTGATAAAATTTTGAAAAATGTTATTTGAAAAGAAAATAAATGTATCAAACCGAACCGCTTAAGAAGCTTCTTACTTTTACTTAAATTTTGTAATAAATTAAGAGTTGTAAGTGTTTGAAACTAAAGGACGTCCCTGTGGATCCTAAAAAGAAATGAAGGAAAGTGCTGGGAGAAATGCCTACATTAACAAATTTGCTTCTCAATAACCGCAGATTTTAAATATAGTAAAGAATTATGGATTGCGAGAATTAGTTGTTTTTGTAAAATTCTGGCACTGAATAAAAGACCTTTTAATAAATCGTGTCAATAACATCAACATTAGACTGTGGACATCAAAACTTTATAGTAAATAAGTATGAAATAATTATATAGGGTGGCAACCGGAACCTAACCTAACCGTTATATTATATTTTGCCCATACAAGGATGTTGCCCGGCGAAGTCTATTTATTTCTTAATATGTAGGTAGAGCTTACATTACAAAATGTTAAACTAAAGAAAATTTTTACTTATAACATATGAGCTTGGGGAATTCTAATCTTCAAATTTTGAGAATTAGTTAAAACATTAATCATACACCTATGCCCACTGTACATATATGCAAACATTATTTTTTGTTTGAATCTCCTATTAATACGTTTCTATTACTAAGTAGTTATATATTAATATAATATTATAATAGTTGTACTTTCTCAAATATAAAACTTGTTAAGGACAATAATTTACAAATTTTCTAAGACGACATATATCCGAAATAAGAAATATAAATTCTCTTTGAGAACTATTTATGACTGCGCTAAATGATGTTAGTGACATGGAAAAAGATCGTTTTCTTATCTTAATAATTTTAAATATAATTTTATTTAACAATAAAATCGGATTAAAATCCTTTAGAAATCTTAAACTAAGCTGTGCTTTTAATTAAGTTATTACATATTTAAAATTTTTATAAAAATAGTTTCTATTCTACCTAGATAGATATATAATATATATCTCTCTTCTATCTATATCTGCTTAAGTTGTAAAATAGGGATAATAGTGCAATTACTTTAAGTGGCGTACCAGAGTATAAAATAATGACGTAATTCTCTTTGAAAAGACAGTGTGCATGAAGCAAAAAGCTGCTTCAACAGTGCTACATATATATTTCAAAGTACCACTTTTGTATTTAAACTAGTCAAACTGTATAACATCAACGAAAAAAGCTGGTTTTATTGTGATGAAATGTACTAAAATATACTGGAGGTAATGCGTGCGTAATGTTATTTTAAATTGTTTATGGATTTATAACAATTTATCAAAGAATAGCTCTGTGAACTGACTGTTTTAAATTCTATGTTCGTTTGTTCTCTCGATTCTTTTAAGAGGTATGTAGTTTGGCATAGCATATAAATATTATGATAAAAGCGGAAAAGATATATACCAGCATGCTATATGATTTTTTTTTATCTACGTCTGCCATAAAAGTATACAGAGTGTAGATTAACATGTATAGACGCACTAAAAATTACTGTATGCTTCCATAATTTAGTACATGTCTGGAAGCAACTTGATACACTCACAATCAGTGCTTAGTGTGGACTTTTTATGCTTGAAGTCTTTGATGCACAAAGTTGATAGTGTATGTAGCACGTAACGTTTGTAATAAACCTTGAAACGATATTCATAAAAGGAAATCTTGTTAGTTTACAAGCAGGATTATTCTTTTAATTTTCAAATAGTGCACTATTTGGAAATTAAATTTATAAAATGTTTTTAAAAAAATTACCTCATTGATATGGTACAAAAAAACTTTAGTTACTAGTTAATTCGTTGGTAATTATAATTAGTTTTATATTTTCTTAAAGTCAAAGTTAAGATAAATATGTTTTATGAAAATTAATAAATATCTTCATAATGTGAATTTCAATAAATTACACGTTAGTTACAGAAACATATTTTTAAAGGAATGAAAAATAAGAAATATTGTAATTAATTAGTATTTTCACACATATGTGTCCCAAGCTATAGAGATTGATACACGTACACACACATCTATATGTACTTGGTATATATAGATGTAACACCATTGATACTAACTATGAATGTACACCATCTAGCAGATGAAATAGCAAGGATTATTATCAGACGAACAGGATTTAATATTATATGAAAAAGTAATTTGCAGTAACTCTGGAAATGGTTTAGTGTTAAAGAAGTAAGCCGCTTATACATATATTTTACAAACTATAATTACTTTTTAAATCGGTAAATACATTTTTTAACTTTTATTATATATTTTATAAATGCTTATGAGTAATAACTCAACAAACAACACTGATCCACTTCTGTCTTTCTTGATTTTATGTTACGTTAAAAGAAGAAAAACAGGAGGAGTGTCTAAAGTATTTTAATGTCAAATCACATAGCTGTTAATGCTGCATTGTGTAGCTGTCACCTTAATAGACTTAGCTCTTTAGTTTATAGAAATATATTACTTAGAAATACTGTTTAAATTTATGTAAACTTCTACATAAGGTTTTAAAACTTAAAATAATATTTTCCTGATTAAAAAGACACTGTTTATAACTCTTTCAAAGGAAGCAATCATGAATTTCATTTGCCGGCAAATTATTAACAGAAATTGAATCACATACTTATGACTTTCAAAGTATGAAGTATTTAACGTTGCCTGCATCGTTGGCCTTATGTATTAAGATTTTAAGTAAAAATAAGGGTGTAGTGAAGGTATATAAATTTATAACATATTTTTGCAAAAATGAATAAATTAAAAAATATTTTTATTAAGATATCTTATTCAAGTTCCAAATATTATTTTATTATTAGTGCAGTTTTATAGCATAAAAGTTTTGATTTGATTAAAGGTTATATTCTAATGAAATTGGGTGTTATTGGTGCTGAAACGGTAACTGAACTGGGGGGCAGTCAATCTGTCTTACGCGGTAAGCAAGTCCCTGCAATAAAACATTTACGTACAGTATAACGTTTCTAACATCCTTGGAATACAACATATACTTGTATTACTACATACTAGGATTACTATCCTCGCATAGTATTCTTGTTTGTTGTTATATATTGAATTAAATAAAACAGTGTCGCGTAAGTTATACCGTTTGCGTTTATGTGAAAGGTGGCAAACGAGCAGACGGCCTACATGATGGAAGGTAGTTACCGTCGCCCATAGACATTCGCAACATAGGAGAAGTTGCGGATGCGTAGCCAACCTTTGTTTTTAAAGAATAAGGAAGGGTGGGAATAAGCGAATGTCAGGAAAAGGTGGGAATAGGGTTAGGGCAACCGGCTCTCTCACTCATCAGACGAAACGCAGCCATTAAAGGCTACTTCACGCCGATCTTCTGTGAGAGGGTGGTACTTCCCCGGACGAGCCGGCACATGCTCGAGCTGTAGTTAGGTACTTGACCACAGCTAGTCTCTCAACGATTGTTCGAGTGTGTGTGCATGTGTTGAATACGTAACCTTATATTTTCAAAATTTATTAATGTTTTTTTTTATATCATAAAGGGCCAACGAGCAGGCTAGCCATCTGATGGTAAATGGTCGTCGCCGCCCATGAGCACTCGAAGAGCTAGAAGGCACCAGAGTGCGTTGCCGGTCTTTCAGAAAGAGGTACGGTCTTTTTTTTTTAATCTATTACTTGTTGTTATTGATATCATTGATTTTCGTCGAGGGGAATACTCAAGGGAATATGTAGTTTTTGAAATAATAAATGCATTACCAAAAAGAGGGTTGACGTCAGGCAGGCGGCTGGTCGCAAAACACAATTAGCCAAAACTATTTACAACATGTTCTGTGGAAGAGAATAACATGTTTTGCCCACCCTACATAAAGTGGGATAGGGGCAGGAAAGAAAAAAGGGTAAATGTTATAAATTTGACTATTTAACATTAATAATAATTAATATTTTGGTAAATGATAACTTTAATTTGAGACAAAAGATTATTACAAGAATTACAGGACAATTAAAAAACTTACATTGCCTACAAAACTAAATGAAAAATAAAATTTGGTGAATATCTATTTATTATATATATGTATTTCTTTAAATTGCACTAAATCTTTAAAGAATAAACAATTGTTTGTATATTAACATCTAATATGGAATATTTTGGAAGCAAGTATTGGAGTAACGTAATATTCCATTCACATTCGCAAAACATACATGGTATTAATTAGAAGACAAGGCTCTATTTATTAGATGCATACTGATTCTATTATAAAACGCCTCAATACTACCTTTATACTATACATGATCGGGTCGACTATAATAATATCCATATTTCAAGTACAATATTGAAATGCAAATGTCATGTTTGACATTTAGTAATAAACAGTAAGTAATTTTAGCGAATTGATGTGTTACAGGTGTACGGGAAAGTGAAAGTCAAGTAACGATTAGATTAAATAATTTCATGTATTTCTAATACTTCTTTACCATATAAATTTTGTCCCTGTTGTTGCTACGTTCATCTCCTTCCGTAATCTCTTAAGAAGGAATACACAGTTTTCGTTTCACTAATAAATAATTAAAATCTTTACATAATAAATATAATTTAGCGAATAGGAACTATATAGATTCGTTATTTTTACAGTTTAGTGGTTGATTTTTTAGTGGTTACGGTTTGCAAATCATTTAGTGATAAGTTATAATTATCTTCCAAAAACAGTAAAACTTCGAAAACAGTTCTTTCAAATAATAATAAATTGCTCGAAACAGTGAAAAACGTTAATTTTATAAATCCTATACACAGGAACAAAGTTTTAAATTTTAAAATAAATTTTACTTTTATTTTAATGAATTAAATTGTCTGAAAAAATGATGGTAGTTAGATCAATTACTATCTGTCTATTCAAAAATGTTGTGTTAATTTAGAGAAATTTAGTTCTCAGCTTCGCCAAATTAAATACAACCTCAAGACATTTTTTGCTTAACTTGATTAAAGTAACTTGGTATTGACATTGATAGAATATAACATGTAAATATTCTTGGAAATACATAAAAAATACATAAATTATCGTCTTATATAAAAAACTAGTTTTAGCTCGCGACTTCATCCGCGTTAATTTCGTCATCTACATATATACATAAAAAAGTCGTGTTAGTTACTCCACTTATAACTTAAGAACGGCTGAACCTATTTAGCTGAAAATTGGCAGGGCGGTAGTTTAGAGCCAGGAAATTGCAATAGGATACTTTTTATCCCGTTCGACAGCATTCCCGTGGGACTTGACATGAAACGTCCGTCACTATAAAACGTGGAATAACGAAACACAATTGACAGATATGCAATTGACGTATGTATAATGACAGATATGTAATGACGTAATGATTACAATTAGATATTTGTAAGAGATCTTCTACTATTTAAAAATAAGTCCGGTTTTCCATCCTGACTATACTACAAATCAATATTTTAAGTAGATGGCGCGAGTGCATGATACATTGTTTGACAGCTACTCATTGTTCTCTGCTCAGTTAATTTCATGTGACAAACCGGTATTGTGTTTGTAGTTTGAACTCTTAAAACCATTTAGTATTTGCGGGATAGATTTAGAAAATCATTGTTTTATAGATGGGCAGTTATATTCTGCGTGTTCACGAGTTTGGAAACCATCCGCTTTATTTGTGTTAAAGTTAGACCAAAAAACAAAAAATGTGGTTTACAAAAGACCACTTCAATGAAACGGATAATTTGCGGACACGTATAACGCTTCGATTCGGTATCTACTTTGGATTCACTTTCATTTACTGAGAGTAAGTTCAATTAAATAACACTTCATTTTTGTAATCGAAATGAATTCATTACTGTTGTGAAATGAAATAAATATTTTCCTTTTCAAATATAAAACAAAAAAAAAATTCTTCATCTTTTAACCTTCCTATACCCGCGTCAAATACCATAACACATATACCCGCGTCGGTCAGTGGGACCGATAGTTCTTTCGTTTACTAAATACATAGCTATCCTTTCAACCACAAAAAATAGTAATTTATGATTAAAAAGGACTTTTATACAAACAATATAAACAAAATTTATGACAATAATAATGTGTATTACTAACTAATAGTCTTTTTATTACATCGTTGATTTTATTGTTTAAAAAAAAATTGACGTAATATAAATGTGGTTATTTATGTAAAAGATTTTTTGTCTTATTGTTGTTTTAAGTTTTTAGCGTTTATAAAATGAAGAAATATTATAAAAAATCTTAATATTTTTAATTGTTTACCAATAAAAATAAAATATTTCTTTTAAATATTCTAGCACGTTACATATAAATAAATATTTATTGTATAATATTTTATTTTTTTGTCAGATAGTATTCCTTTTCATTTCGGTAAACAGTGTGAGATGGACCGGTACCTACAAATTTTTACATAACTTTCTATATGCTCTCTGGGGGAACTCTTTGGATCTCTTTGGACTTTTGTATGTATGTGAAAAATTTGGGGAAGTTATGAAGACTTACGTTAATGGTTAACCCAAAGGCGGTTCTTTACTGGACCTTCGGTAATGGTCGTCAATTAACAGACTTCAATGGTTTAACCTCACATATCTTAATAAGAAACATTAGTGGGCGTGATTTGATACTCCCACATATAGAACGTGAAACTAAAATCAATATTTCTTTAGTATTCTGAAATACAGTAGTCCATATTGGGACGGTTTATAGGGATCGGTATTCTTACAATGTTCTCTGAATGATATTCATCTTATTGTTGTTCAGTGATATTTATGGTGTTAGTGTACATAGTTTTGAAAAATAAGTAAAAGGAGTAAAAATAAGTAGATTTTCAAGTCATTTTTAATTATTAGATAAATAATAAACAAAGCTATAGATAAATTTTAATTGCTTCACATGTTTATTTAGTAATTTGTATTTTCACGTTATACTTTTAGTCTTTTGTGTTTTGTTTATGTAAATAAAAGTATTTTTTGTTTATTCATATTAATATGTTAAAATTTAATGTCCTTAATTTGTTGTTTATAAAGTATTGATAGTCACTAGTTTCTTTCATTTTCGTCAATATATATTTCAGATGAAAATAGCCTGATAGTTCTGACCTCCATCCTCTTAACATCACTGTCAATTCACGTTTCTAAGACTATCTGTTTTTTTTATACTGCCCACATTAACGTATAAAATGACGTGAATTATTTTCCTGGTATATTTGCTTTCATTGAATACAAAATCATGGTATCGGAAAAGGTGGCGGAAGTGTAGCGATTTACTATTGAGCTCACTTTCCTTATAATGTGTGTATACTTAAAGTATATTTCCCCAACCTTGTTCTCCAGAATATGTATTGACACATGGTTACTTCTCCGGTAAGTAACTTTCATCCTTCTAAATCTAACATTGTTCATCAAAATAATTTCGAAACACACGAAAATTTATAATTTTTTAACAATTGCTCACCCATCTCTTGGATAAGCATGCCGCTGTCAGATTCATTTATTTGAAAAGCCTTCCAGCGGCTAGGTAACGAATGGTATTTAAAAAGTATGGAGCGGCAGTATAGATACACTGAAGTTAATCGCTGAAAATAATTAGAAATCGTTGCAATACTTAAGTTAAAGTTTCATAATGAGACTATATGATTCGTTCAATATGCCAACAGCTAAAATATGAACATTACTTCCAACACTTGGAGGGTGTAAACAAGATTTCAGTCTTCAGTAAACTTTGATATACGACTTTATAAAATATGATTATGGTGGGCTCAAACCTTATAAGAAATCAATTTTTTTTTTGAGTTTCAAAAATATTTTGCTGTGTAAAATGACAGTATAATGAATAATAATAAAAAGAAAAGTTATCTTTTTAAATTTAATATGTCTAACGTTACATTAATCTTTCGGTATCAAACACGGCGGGAACTATTAATACGTTGATCATTAATAAGTACTATCTGGAGTGA